AGGGTGTGTCCATCATCATAGCTCTGAAACTGGATGCTGCTCTGGTAGTAGCTATTGGGTCTGATTTCCTCCTTCGACTTCTGGAATCTTAATTCCTTCAGGGGCAGGACCTTTCATCTGGATCTTTTTCTCTAGAGATCCCAACCATCTGCTACTTCATTTGACTTCAGAAGGAAATAGGGCCTTTGAACGTTTCCAAAAGTCTGCTCTTGTGCTTGCTCTTGAGTAAGCCATACTTATGAAATGAATCTCCTTGAGAGCAGTGGAATGAGATCTGCATTACTGAAATATATAAACTAATGTACTTTGCCTATATAATCCTGTTTGCATTGAATTTGGTGAGAATTCATCAAGGAGAGAAAAAATTTACCATTATTAGCCTTGGAAAGCTAGAAAATATTCTCCAGCAACATGACATCAGACATTTTATTATTTTTCAATTACCTAGTGTCTGCTCCATTTTTAGGAGCTTTGTTTACACTGCTGCGTGCCTCATAAACTGATTGCCACTTACTGAAAACGTTCTTTCATGAATGAATGCAAGTCATGATTTCCTGTAACAGGCAACTGCACTAACAGAAGGTTCTGACTTTTATCAAGTAAATGGTTGAGGAACTGGCTGCGGGAGCCAGCAAAGCCTCCGTCCCAGCCAAGTGCTGCTGCACCGTGGCCTTTGCCGTCATCCTTCACAGCCGTGTCCTGCACGTTTCATCCTCTCCAAAAAGGCACAGGGCAGGCTCTGCAGGTTTGTTAGCAACGTGGATCTATCTAAATAGCTAATAATAGCCATTGGTTTATTTGACTGCTAACTGTTTAGACTGTCCCTGAGATCATGACATCAGTCGCTGTGTGTCACTGCAGTGCGTGATTCACTAATTCAATGCTYTGCATAGGCAGAGGTTAGGAATATATTTATTTCAGGAATATTTCATTTCCAAGKGATTCTCTAGGCCATGCTAAAATGCCTAAGATTAGAACTATGATGGACTTTCATAGTCATCTACAAGACTTGAAAAGAGCCTATGCAGTTCAATGATAATACTTAGTAARGTAATAAATATAGAGAAACAAAATTGGATTTTTTTTTTTACATTCAGATTTGAAATAMAGATATTTGACAATTTGATTTGATATGGGTTTATCAAAACCCATGTGTTGAGCTGTACCAGATCAGAATCACAGCCCTGTCCACTACTAATGCTACTAATAAAATATGACTGTATGTACTGCAAAGCTGGAAAGAACTGTTGGAGACCTGTTTCTGGATACGTTACATGTGTATAAGGCTACACATTGTGAAGGTGTGCAAAAAACCTCAGGATTTAGGGGTCCTTTGAGCACCTAGCAGAGGCAGTATTGGGAAAGGACATAAACAGGCTTGCAAGCTGTGATTTGAAGGGGAAGGCCCACTTGCTGGAATTTGTGAGGGGAAATAAATCCAAGCCCGTGGTTTCTTTTTCCCCTCTCAGCAGAAAGAAAAATGTCTAATGGATGTCTCATGTCTGAAACACTGGGCTGGATTCATCAAAGGGAGTTAGTAATTACCAAATTGAGAGAATCATGAAGCGCTTTTCTAAATTTGAAAGGCTCATCAAGAATAGATCAGGAGCAGGAAAAATTAATAGTTATGAACTCATTTCCATAGAAATGGACTTATTAGCAAGCATGCCAGCTGCCTAAAATTATAAGGTCTTTTCCTTGTGCTTGCAGGAAATAATCTTTTTTTATAAAAGTAATTTTGACTTTTTATTTTGTATTGCTCTTCCAAACTAGGGTTTGGCAAAGTCCTTCTAAACTGCTTAAAGACTTTACTGGACAACAAAAAATGTGCAACTAAAAGGAGCAGAAAGATGTGGAACGGAGAAAWGATTTGCAAGCTTAGGTTCAATCAGTCTCTTCTCAATAGTGCAAACSTACTTAAGATAAAAATGGAATGAGTCTCAAGAAAAAGCTTAAAAATCTTTATAGGATAAAGTTTGGTTTAGTGGGATTTAATGGCTGATAACAGCCTGAGTTACAGTCATCTTCTTTATCTGCTTGTGGATATTCCACATGTAGCATTTTGTATTCGCTTTTCAGGTTTTATCCTGGATTCGCTACAGCTAGAACTAGGGTGAGGGCTTGTAACAAAGGCAGTGGGTTAGTCCCCGGGGTATCCGGTGTCCCGGATACTGTGACACTTGGCATTGCTCGAATGCTGAATCTTTGTCCAAAAGAGGAAAAAAGGGAAACTAGTTTTAGAGGGAATTCAGTGACCTGCTGTTCCGAGCGTAGCTGGGGGCCCTACTGGTGAATAATGTATTCCAGAAAGCTGGATTTCTGTCTGTTTCTCAGTGGAGAAACTCTAAAAATGAAACCTGATTAGGATACAGTAAGTCCATCTCTCTCCCAAAATCTCCACGTGAAAAGAAGTGGATTTCTTTAATCGGCATTAATTCTCACGGCACACAATTTCCTTCTGAGGCAAAGTAGAAAACATTTGACAACTATACTGTTTTTGCAGGTAACGGTGAAGATTCTCTGTAGAAGCAGGACAACCACCTTGGGTCAGCTTTGCTATAGTCATCTTTGCTTTACTTTGTTAGTATTACTTACAACCATGGAAAGTTGATGCATCTAAATTGCTGCTGCTTTGTAGATCTGCAGAGATGGCTTTCCCAACCAGCAGTATACAAATACATCTGCCTGTAAGRGAAACATGTGGCTTGTACGTCTATACAGTCAAGGTTTCTTTGCCTTGCCAAAGATTCAGGAAAGATCTTTCATGTTTTCAGGGACGGGAGTCATTTAACTCCCTGGCAATTACTGTGGTTTGCTGTCTGGATGAGATGCATGCATGTGCTTTTCTTAGGGAGCCTAGGTCTTCACAGTGTAAAAACACTATTATAGTTATTTTTCTGGTGTATAAAAAGAAACACAGGAAGGAAGGAATTGGAGGTGCTGTGAGCTGAGCTCAAGGACGTGTCTGTCAGTGGGACATGTGGTTTGTTAGTGCGGGCTCACCTGACATATTATTTAAGTGACAAATGTAAAACAAACTCATCCAYCAGAGTTTGATCAGAGTTGGAAGCTACTCCTGAGTGTTGGTGAGTGGTAACTGCTGACTGTATCAGCCTGAAGCTAATGGGTTCAGATCCAAACAGACCTTGACAGCTCTAATATCCAAATCCACAGCTGGGGTAAAGCTCATCTCCCAATTTTGTTGCTGTGTTGTGAGCAAATCCATTTGAAGATTAGATAAAGCAATCCCTCCAGAAGAGATGAGCAGAAAATGATGAAGCTGAGTATTCCACCCTGGTGCCCACAGTGGTAGTGTTTTTTTTTTTTTGACAGAAACTGTCTAATTACAGTCCTAGCATTGTGTAATAAAATTCCTCTTAAAGAGGTTTTGCTGATTGTCTGGTTGGCTACCCAAAAGATGCATTAATAGCTTCTGGTTTTGCCTGGAGGTGGAAGTAATCTTCTGTCAGCATGGAAATTGTTTATCCTCCAGGCATTGGAGCATATGCTTGTGGTGTTTGTTGTTGGAAAGAAAACATGAAAATCAATAATTCCTCCTCTGTTTTTTTTTTCCTTTACAATTGTGCCTTCAAAAACATATGGCAAAAAAAGCAGATTCTGCCTCTGTGCAATTGGGTAGAGAAAAAGGATGTTTACGTCTCTGTTCTTTGCAGTGGCAGGCTCAAACTTTCTAGAAGCGGAACTCTTGGTGCCACTTCTTTAGTGTACGGGGTGACAAATAATGTGCCGTGGGATGGGGCAGAGCTTGAAATTACAGAGTGGCATGTGCAGGCCAGGGGGCTCGGGACACGACCCTCGATGCTCCCTCGTGAGGGCAGTAAGAGCGCGTTGAAGTCATTATAGAGCRGCCAGCCTGCTGCAAGTTCAGGTTTTAACCTATTTTGTGAGGATGTGCGCTGAAGCCCGAGTAGTAGCGATCACATCAGTTGTCTTTTGATGTAAGGAGATAAAGCAATTGGGTCAGCAATCGGGTTAGCAGCCTTTTCCGACGGCTCCCTCTCCGTGTTTTGCATCAGGTCCCCACGCTGAGGTGTCTGTCTGAGAAATGGGGCAGGGATTTGCACATTGCTTTGTAAAGTACCTTGTTTTTTTCTGAAAGAAAAGCACTGGATGAGCAAAAGTTTGCTTGCTGCRTAGGTCTCAGCTGTGGATATGCTGAGTGCTGCTGGGCAAATCTCAGTGTCGCTTTTCTGCACGTAACTTAAAGATAAGGATATCTGTCTTTCTAACCTCAGGATTAATTATTAATATTTGCATAGTGTCGGACGGTACGAGAGTGCTTAGGTGATGGCGCTCACAAAAGAAGCAGAAGTAATTTGTAAATACAGCCCTGAATACTATGCGTTTACCTCCATTCCTTTACCTTTGATTTTTTATTCCCAGATGAAAAATAAGTAATGCTCACCACACAGTTATAAGTCTACATCACTGACGAGAAGAATGTTTTCATGAATTAAAAATGAAGATAATCTATCCCTCGTTTTTTGTCATGTATAATTTGTGCAAATGCATTTTTTTCCCACAAAGGTAAAGACAAGTTTGGGCTTGAAAGACTCCCCTCTCCCTCTGCACCATGAGCTCTTTCCTGATACTGCATAAAGAGTGGACAAGCACTGTGTAGCTTCTCGGCATCAGTATTTGCAGGAATTAAATTATAATAATGCTATATTAAATAATTCAGCAACACCTGGGCAAACCAGTGTTCTCTGGTTTGGGGCTTATTCTGCAAGTTCATAATGATTATGTAGAATGTATGCCTGAGCTTAATGCCTGCATTTTCAGGAAGCTARGAGATGTCCGGTCATCTTATCCATAAAGTAGAGCTGTCACCCAACGCATAATTTGACTTGGGTTTTTGTTAGTATCTTGACATCTACATGTTGAATTTAAAGGTAATTCTTGCATTGGAAAGAAAGCAAAAACGCATTTTGTTATTGTTATTCATTTAGATGAAATTTTGGTTTTGCATTTTTTCCCAGAGCAAACATCTCCTCCTATGAGATCCTGCAGATGGACTTTGAGATCGACAACAGCAGCAGCCTGACAGGAGCCCAGCAAATCACCTGGCAGGTGGAATATCCTCGTGATGACTCCTTGAGCGAGCTCGTGGTCTCCGAGATCTTTGTCAGCCGAACCATGTTTGTGGGAATAGTCCCTCTTGCAATGGTAAGAACCTACTGCCCTTTCCTTCTTTCTTTTTTTTTTTTTTATTTTGCTAAATGCTTCTTTTGCTTCTTGTTAGTATTCAAGCAAACGTGAGCCTTTTTATTATGTGCCCCTTCCTATGCACCTGCTGCAAGTGATTTAAATGCAAAATATATTTCAATAATATTTTATTTACCTGGCATGCCATAATGACTCTTTGGGAACTGTTTGAGTCTTTTGTGTAAATCCTTTGCCATTTGTGGGTTATTGGCCTGGTTCACAGTTACAGCTCCTTGGGAGCCGTTGTCTCCTGGTGCACTAATGTGACTGCTGTGCGTGTGCTCCGAGGGTGAGCGGCGCAATTAGCAGGATGTTTTCATTGAAATAAATTAACAGGTGTGTRTGGGGAAGCTCATTGCTAAACCAAGCAACTGGACTGTTTTCTGCTTTGTTTTTTGATCCAAAGTGCCCGTGTGCACTTGCCTGTCAGAGCTCAGTGAGATGCAAAGGGTCTATTTCATAAATGCTTCGTTTGGAGTTATAGAGAAAGGATAAGATACTTTCTGTAGACTTAGATGTAGGTCACATTTTCTAGCCGGGGTTTAAWGTGTCCTTGTGTGGAAGGCTTGAAGCTGATGGTTTGCATGGAAAAAAAAAGCAAATATCTACTTGCAAAACTCAAAAGCAGCTTTTCTTAGSAGGAACTTCTGGCTTACATTTGGGCCTTGTGTACCTTTTAGTACTAGAAGTTTAAAAAAGTCCTGTGATTTCATTGGGTATGTCCTGTTATAAAACTAGAGTAACTACTGCATTTATGTGAATTTTAACTGAGTACATTTAAGGGTTAATTGTTATTCTCCTGTCTCCCTTTCTTGCTTTTTTTTTAAAAGCAAAATATAAGGTTTGAGCGTCTGCATCTTAAACCTCTTCCCTGAGAAACACTCTGRCCAGTATTTTTGCTTTTCCATGAAAATTATCATTTCCTTTGCGAGCGATTTGCCTTTGTTATCTTTCTGTTCTACCATGCAACCAACAAATACCGGCGTTTTCCTGTGCACAACCAGCACCTCCTCTTGCTCGGATCACAGCAAAGACGCTTGTAAAGATAAACGAGGCCTCGACGAGTCTTATTTTCAGTTCCCACTGCCAAAGCCTACACTTACAAACTGCTCAATGATAGTAATACACTTGGTGACAAAGGAGAAATTACACGGGAAAAGTCTATAGAGTAATTTTTTTTTATAATGCCCTTTCTGAAGCGTGGCCAGAGGCAACAAAACAAAACTCAAAACAAAATTAGGAGCAGAAAGTGGTGCCTGATGTGACTTGCACGTAGCCMTGCCCGTTTCAAAGGTCAGTGTGGAGTTTGGCCATGCAGAGCACCATGAGTATGCAAGAAAAGCGAGTCCTGCCCCAAAGCTTGCGGCGAATGTTGTGTCCAAGCTTTGCTTAAAGTGTCTCTAAACATCCTTGCACAAAATTGGAACCTGARTCTCATGTGGAGTTAGTCTCATCTCAGGCACTCCATCATAGCAAACTACCTGCAGAGGAAAGAACAATGCTTCTTTTACACATTTTTATCTCTTTTTGGAACATTTTGGAGCATGAGTGCAAAATTGRGTCCTTGGTATGCAAGAATGAGTGTTTTGATGGGATTACCAAAATCTTCTGTTTGGGCAGTGCTAACGGCAGGCACAGCTGAACGAAGAAGCCTGGTTTAGTGTTCTTGTACCACAGCGTCACATGCAGCTGAATGGGAGAGATTCCAGAGGATTGAGGTGGATTCTGCAGCAGTTTGTGTGCTCGCTGGAAGGCAAATTCAGTGCAAAATCCCGCAAAGCATTTGTGACTTTTCTTAAGAGATTTAAGTTGAATTTAAATATGCACATCTCTCTTGGTAGGTACCTTGGTTCTTTTAATATACAGACATCCTCTTCCATATGGATTATCTGGCATCCATATGGAATATCTGTTTGTTTTTTCTGCATTTGATCACCAGTTCATCCTCAGGTTTCCCATGCTACTCCTGTAAGCAAATGGTGGAAAACAGCAAGAGCCCCCATATGATTTATTCAGCCAGTGCCTTGTGTTTATTCTGGAGATAGTGATGGGGACATTTTTCTGATTCCTAGCTTGGTCTTTTCCCTCTATTCCCCATCTATTTCCATAGATACAGGAGGAGTGGAAGACTGCATGGTAACATTTGAAAAACAGCCTGATGAAAAGAGCTGATTTCTTGCTTCAGTGGCTTTATGAAGCACTTAATACCAAATCTGACGTTCTTGACGCTTACATCTTGTAGCAAGCTTGAAAGGCATTTGATTTTTTTTTTTTTTTTTTTTGCTTCTCTGTGTGTGTTTTTAAGCAACGACAGCTGGTTTCCTCACATTATGCAACCAAAACTATCTCTGCGTTAGCAGAGAGTCCTGCTCTAGCGAATTGATGGAGGAGCTTTCTGCTGGCAAGTCCTTAGGAASGGAGTCGGCAGCGCGTTGGGGCTGCAGGGGAAACGCAGGCCAGGGCAGCAGCGCTCGCTGGGCGCTCAGCTGGGCTTCTCTGACGTGCYCTCGGGGAGAGAACGTCCTGATAACCTGTGTGTTGCCTGTACCAGTGGCGAAAACGCAGGAGAACTTTTGAGGCCTTGGAAAGGGCATTGGGAAGTGCCTGGAAACTGGTTAACTCGTAGGAAAGGACTGGATTCGCTCGGGAGTTTGATGCAAATTGCAAACAAGGAGAAAGGATGTKACTTGGCAGCTTGGTCTGCACTCTTTAAAAAGCAACGTTGATTGAAATTCTGAGAAAGCTGTAATATAATTTGCAGCAGAAATAAAACTGTAAGTTTAGGGATGCACRTTGATTAATGAGAAGTTCAGGCAAAACATTACTGCTTGCAAGCAGTGGATGCTGGTTTTTTTTGACTCCTGTTATTAAGAGGGGATGACGAATGCAGCCCAGTCAAACCCTACAATCTCAGATTTTCTTTTAAATATCCCTTGGATATCTAGATGGATTTCCGTGTTTACCTCCATCATGAAGAAGTTTGAAAAAGTGTGTTGGAGTCATTTATTTTAAAATGCATCGTACTAGTTTAAACAAAGAAATGTCTGTCTAGCATGCACAATTAGATTAGAAATACTTAACTGTAACAAAACCAGCTGTTCTTGGCTTCATTCTTTTAAATTGATAAGTGATTTTTTTTTTTTAGTTTATTTGTTTTGGAGGTAGGGAGGAAGTTCGGAAGAAAAGAGTTAAGTATAATGGAATATTGGGAATTGCTGCAAAGTAAATATTGAAATAAAGAAAAAAAATAACTAAGTTGAGAAAATCAAGCAGAATTTCATACTGCAAATGTGCTTTCTGAGTCAGTTGATGCAGTTCTCAGATCCTTAAATTCCTTCTCACTGAAACATGCATTTGAATGGCTCCGTAGGGATTTATTTCCAAGGGAGCTCCATTTGCATGGAGCCAGCCCGGTCTGATCACTTAGGATCTGCTTTCAGAAAACTGGAGCTCCCCTTCTAGCTGGTCTGTGCACACAGGGGTCGGTGCCCAGCAAGGATGCGCCACAAACGCGGACCAGAGCATCCCCATCTGACAGGGCGAAGAGAAGAGAAATCACAGAGACGGGTGATCCCAAGTGCCTGTCACCGGCACCCGTCTCCGGAGCTGGTTCGGATGAGCTGCAATAACGCGACTGCGGCACCGATGGATCGACTGTGTGTGGAGCTGCTCTTATGGCTGTGCCTGTAAATCAGGTGCCTGCTGAGAGGCTTCAGTCCTAGAGCTCCTTTTACAGAGAAGTGTAGTGGGGAATGCTCCGGTTAAGCTAGCCCATCAATTCCACCGTTCCCAGCTGCTGAGAAGAGTGCGGAAAATGAGGCAATACAATCTGTGTGCTGTGCAGCTCAAGTACTACAGGAAACAGCAAAAGCATTTGGTTTTATTCAAAGAATATTTTGAGATATGAAAGGACCTAAGGGGACAAACAGAAGCTTTCAGCCTGTGTGTGCCCTTGGGTCCCCCCATATCTCCCTTCTCTCTGCAAAATAGTCCCCAGTTTTTGTCTGGCCCAAGCCTGGACTCCTCTTAGCAGGTGATGAGAGCATCAGTTCAGAATCATTCCAGAGTGCAAAGTGCTTGCTATTATCAGTGGCACTGTTTCCAGTTCATATTTGGATGGAATTTGGATTTGAGAATGAAAGAAAACAGTATGTGAGTGTGTGTGTGTGTGTGTGTGTGTCCCTGTAAATACAACTTTGCCAATAATGCTAAGTTAATTTTTTGAGCTGAGTCACATAAAGTGTGTGATGATTGATAATATTTCTATATTAGCTGGAAGGACTGTTTTCTGCCCTAAAAGTGTTTTCTCCGAGAAGTGCCTACCTACATAGGAAAAAGAAGTTAATGCAAATTCCTTAAACTACATGAAAATTAACAAATTATTTTTTCTGTCAGCACTACTATTGTTATGTAGTATTTATACAGTGTTTTATATTTCCAAAAGACTTTCCAAGTACTAATTAATCAGACGTGACCAAACCAAGCTTCATAAAAATGAAAAATTTCATGGAAATTAGGTCACTGTTACTCAGTTTTACCTGTTTCTGAATGATTTATGAGTCACTTTTATACTCCTGAAAGTACTTTCTAAAACATTTAAAACAAATCCCACAATAATACTGCTTAATATCTCTGAAAACTGCTTCAGTTAGGAAAGAGGTAGGATTTATAACGTCAAGAACAAATGACAGCACAGATGAGCGGTTTTGGAGAATGCGAATGCTAAAAATGTTGAGAAATTTTGCCTGTAGAAGGTGAAGAATGAAACTGAGGCAGCTCTTGGGGCTGTCACATGGGGGCTTCAGCAGAGGTCTTTGGGGCTGCTCTACCTGTTTGCCCATAGCAGCTGGCTGATGCCACTTATAAATGCCTGTGGTTGTCCCAGTATTAGTGGGAACTGCAGAGTTATCGCAATCTCTGACACGTACGGGCGTAACTCGACTGGCATGTGTTTTTAAGTG